CTGCCTTGTGATCTCGGCCATCTGAGAGAATGTTTTTATGATTATTATTATTATTGTTGTTATTATTATTACTATTATTGTTATTATTATTATTAATTTTATTTGCAGTGATGTGTTGCGTTGTGAAGTGGAGTGGAGTGAAATGTACTATGTGCAACCAAGACATTACAGTTCAGTGAAATGCAATTAATCGAGATGAGGTGATATGCAGAGAATGCTTGCACGGTGAAATTATTCTTTATTTTGCAAAGTATTTTATTTTTGGTGAATGTAGGCTTCGTGATTGTTAAGTTAAGATATTCGACTACCACGTTCTCACACTCGTAATAGCAGAATTAATTATAAATATTATAGTTATTTATGCACCACGGGGGGTTATAATGGTTCTAATGATATCGCGGCGACAAAAATTCAGAGGGCCTTTGGCTCGAGACCCTCGGGATTTTTGTCGCCGCGATATCATTAGAACCAGTTAACACACTCGTTGTACATACCGATATGATTTTAGTTTTTACGTAGTAATTTATTGATTGAGATTGTCTTATTTACTAATTAACTGGTTGTTAACTTGACTCTGTCATTTCATATTTCCCTCTCATTATTACCTTCATAAGAGAACATCTAGCCTCATTCAATTGTTTTCGTATTTCGCTCGTCACCACGGCCCTCTCGATCCAGGGAAGTTGCGCCGTGTATATTGAGATCCGTATCGACGGCATTAACAAGTGATAACGAACCAGTAAAAAATAAAGGTTTTTTGTTTGTTCTAAACTAGGAAGGAAAAAAATAAAAGGTCGTTCGCCCTTGACGTTAGCGTCTCGTGGAAATCCTCCGAAACGGGCGCCCGTCGCTCTGGAGCGCTGCGAGCGCGGGAGCGGCTGATCGAGTGTGTGTGGTGGGGGGGGCGGGAAGCCCAGCTGTTGCGTCCACCGCCCGCCACGCCCGCCTGCCTGCCTCGCGCCTGATTGGCGTGCCCCGGCGCGCCAGTTGCTAGAGTCATTAGTCCCGTACGTGTAGTGCATTTGCTAGCCCCGAGGTGGGGATTCGGCGGCGACCTAGGCGAGCCGTTAAGCACGCGTTTTCTTCAGCTCGAGAATCCCTTGAGCTCCAGAATGAATAAAAGTTATAAAAAAAGAAGAAAAAAAACGAGCAAAATAAACGAAAATAAAATTTTAAAACATACCTATATTAGCAACATTTGAAAAATAGACATTTTTGTTCCTAATTAAAATTATTTCCAACGGTAAAAAACCCTGCAGATTTGATTTTTTGAATTGCTAACCAAATAGTAACTCACCTTCAGCTCTACTCCTACCACTACAACATAAGAAGAGAATTCATCGAAACGTGCGCATAGTGAAGCTACATTTATTCGAGATAAGGGACCCGGCCCGGCCCGGCCCGGCCCGACCCGATATTTTAATTTTGTTGGATACTTTACATGAAGCTCCTGAGTCATTTTCAGAATTTTTTTTAAATGGCTCCATCGTTTTTTATAAAATTTTGTTTTTGGATTGCGAGAGACGTGTTAGTGAAAGGAGAGTGAAACATAGTGACAGTTAAATGTGAAAGACGTTTAAGCCAATGGTGTGGGTCTCATGCTCGCTAAAAACCCTGATTTTTCCAAAAATGCAAAAGTTCAATTTTTTTCTTCCGATAATAAGTAATTCTACAAGTAAAATATTAAAGATGTATATTTTGAAATTACTTTATTAATAAATTAGGTCAGTAAGGAACAAATTATTTCTTGCCATTTTGCAGAACAGATTTTACTTGAATTTGAAATATATTTGGGGGTTCTTCACCGTGGTCGATCATAAGAACGAACAACCTTCAGCAACGCAGCGAGTGAGACTACAGGACTCACGTGCGTAGTTAAGGTCGACGATCGATTCAGAAGTTACCGAACTAATAACACGTTACCGAAGCGCGCACTTTCGGAAACAAGACACCGAAAGCAACTTTTAAGAAGGAAAGCAGCATATAAGGCGGGAACCATCGTACAAAGCATGTTCGGGAGATTATACCCTTCACTGGACGTAATTAATTGCCTTTTTGGCGAAACATCTATTCTTGCTGTTCTTGGACCCATGATTACGTTGCGCAACCACTACTTTTTGTTTCGACAGCCGCTCAGAAAAAGGGCGTCGTCATTTGTTCGCGTTCGACAGAGTTCCCTGCTCTCTTCCGAGGGGCTTGGACTGAATATTCTGACTGAACCAAATGGCAGCCTCAGATGAGGCAGCTTACCTGTAGTTAGATCAATGTATGATGAATTTCGGACAATGGAGGGTCGATAATACGTACGTCAAAAATCGGAATCTTCAATGCTCCGAACACTCCAAGGTTGTAATAATTTAGGATTTTTTCAATTTTTATTCAGGAACAATTTGGTATATATTTAAGGTTCCTTTAAATAATTGCTACTTTAATTCATTGCAAACATAAATCTAGAAATCATTAATTTAACCAACTGTTGTGTTTCTATATTTTATTATTCGTTCTTTTCTTTAAATAATAGACTATCACATACACAAGTTTATTTCATATACTTAAAATATATTATGATGTTTTTAACTGTATGAAAACATTATTTGTGTGTGTGTAATATGTTAATTTATTTGTGTGTGACATTTTCCCGCAAATTTTCATTATTTTATTGGGCGAGTTGTAACTAAATTTTTGAGAGCAGTCAACATTTAGTATGCTCATTCATGGTTATAGCCAGCAAAGCGAAAACAGATTTTTATTTTGAAGAGTGATTTTAAATCCAAACATTTTTGAGTGTATATAATCACAATATCCAGCAATCGTCTGTCACGTGTATCTTCAGAAAACTTTTCAGTGATTTTAATTATATGTGGTACACTACGTTTTTACTCCTACGTAACAGTGGTCAGCATAATTAATTTTTTGTGGCTCACTACAACATACTATATGAACAGATAACTATAAAACATTTCAATTATATTTTCACGTTTTAATCTGGGTTTAATTATACAAACACGTTTTAATCTGTGTTCAGAGTGAAAGTGATTACAGTGTTTCAGAATTTGTAAATCTTCATTTCATTTGTCTTCGAGAACAAGAACTGAACGGTGAAATAATACACTGAAGAGCCAAAAAAGGAAAAAAAACTGCTACACCTTCCCTATTTCGTGTAGAGCAAGAACTATAAAGAGGGAAATATTATAAAATTAATCACACATCCAAATATTAAACAACAAAAAAGTAAAACCAAATGGAGGAAAAGGAATGCAGCGGACGGACCGACTGACACACATGCGGACCGTCAGTCACACGGACTGACAGACGGACTGGCAGACAGACGACAGGCAGAGAGAGAGAGATAGACCGACAGGCAAACCGACAGCAAGAGTTATGAATCACATGGGGTGAAATGCTGTAACGAATTCTTAAACCAAGAGATCATCCTTCACAGGGGTGGATTTGGAGGTGTTGGACAAAGTGTGACCGACCGACCGACCGACCGACCGACCGACCGACCGACCGACCGACCGACCGACCGACCGACCGACCGGGAAAGACAGAAAGGAGGATGGGACGGACGGAAGAAAAGACGGGCACCGAGATAATATTTTCGTTATCAAGGACCCACAAAACATAGATTCTGATTTCACAATGTGTTGGAGGAAGTAATTTATTACAGGAATACGATTTATCTACTTATTCCTAACCAGGGTCCAGCAGTAATGTGTTTTTCTCTCGAAAATTGTTCTTATTCCGGCGCACGCTCATAATACATTATCTTACGATGTAAAAGCAGGAAAGTACAAGAACATCGTAATATATATGAATTGCTATCCATTTAAATAAGACAGTCCAGGAAAAATGCGGCTGAACAAAACCACACATCTCAAGTTTTCCAAAAAGCACAAATAAAACAATACCTTATAATACTGCAATAAATAAAGTATCTCAACAGAACGTCTTCGCGAATATTGCAATAACGTAGTATAGAATATATACAGTACAACAATTCTTTACATTGCAAAGAACATAAAAGAAGTTGCTGGCCAAAAACGCAACATGCAAATATAATATTGCGGGTTACTTTTTCTTTGAATTCCTGCTTGCATGTTGTTTTGATGCTAATTTCTTCTCACTAATAAAATAGTTCTTAATTAATTTTAATGTTCTTTTATGATGTAAGTTTTTAATTCACATGTTTCTTTATTCTCTACTTTTATACTTTAAAAATAATTTTGTGCAGCATCTAAAGATGAATGCTAGGGAGTCGTAATATGCAAATCTAATTAATTTGAACTTTTGGCTAACACAAAGTTTTTATTTGAACGATTCTAATGAGACGTGAAACAATAGATCAATAAAAAAATACTTATGATGATGTTGATTTTGTCATGCAAAACAACATGGGTGTAATAAAACTAGTATTCTCTTAATATTTCAACTGTTGATCTTAATGAACGTAACTCCATTTTTTTCTAATAATGTGAATGTAATGATTACGAATTATGTTATTCTCTAGTTGTTTTTGTGATTTTATATATTTAAATACATGAAAAAATTCACACATGGCTGTGTTGTAGTGCTAATTAATAAATACCCTATTCCGTGGGCAAAGGAAAGAAAGAAACTATTTCAATAAGACTGTTACATAAATGCATTGGGTGTAAGAAATGACGTTTACTCATTTAATAAATACTTTTTTGATATTGACAGAAATAAAATTAAACGGAGTACAGTACAACACATTTTTTATCACGTCTAATAAATTTTTATTTTATTCTAGCTTCAATGAACGGACACATTTCTTTTCCTAATTCTAGAACTCACTGATTACTCTGTAATATTGAGTGTATAAACTTTTTGTTTCTGTTCAAAAACCTTCATTTCGAGTTCACAGATATATCTAATTACGAACAGAACAAAATACTAAATGGTACTTACACTAGTTGTCAATTCAAGACATTGCTCTTAATCACTGAATTTGTAACAATAATTATGAGAAAATTTACCTCGTCCGTTGAATATGCCCTGCTTCACACGTATAAGGTTGTGATGTCCAGTGTAAACACACCTGGCAAGCGTGCCTCCTCTTCACGTCACAATCATTTGAACTTGTTCGTGGGTAAATAACACATTGTATTTGCAAACTCACACTTTGCAATTCAACACTTTTTAAAAGCACAAACAATGCCTCTTGCAATAAACAGGAGTAGTATTTGACATACGAAAGGTACCGGGATATCTCCTAGCGCCATGTTCCCGGCAAAACTACTGAAACGCGCTCTATTTTCTATTACAAGCCCTCGCATGCTTTCTGCAGAGATCTGTGGAATTCGCGGGTAATTTGAAACTCAACGTGCCATAAATATTAACTTCAGTGATGTGAGCGGGCGGTCTGCCTAGATTGACGCCATTCTATTATATGGTATCAATTCAAAATGTGTGTCTTATCCTTTAACGTGCCCTCACATACGAATCGACTCCCAACGACCTCGCGAATCTAACGACACACAGCATCTCCAGAACGCGTTCTGTGGTATGAATATGCGTTGTTGATTTGTTTATGACCAGAGTCACACCCAAACGGTGGTAATATAAATATTAATAACACGTCCACGAATAAAATACATTTTATATTCAGCAGAAATGAAAAATTCTTAATAAGAATTAATTGAATGGACTCTATGTCGCGCCATACCTGCCCCCCCCCCCCTCATATCCCGAGCAAAATGATGTGTCTGCTTGTAGGTGTGACTGCCCGAAAGTGACGGATACATAACAAGAAATTACAAAAGAATTCTTTTCAAACCTTTTTCGAAGAAACTGCACAATATGTGCCCTGTCGTTAACTTGGTTGTAAGGCAGTTTCCGGAAGGGAACCGACGCCATGATGTTAGGAATCATTGATTATTTCGTGTTTCCAAATGCGTCAATGGCAATCACATAAGTGTAGTGCATGTTTTCCCTCAGGAGGTCGCTGAAAAGTCCCCTAATGGACGGTAGATGGCAAGATCTGGCGCCGACCTCCTTGTCTCAACTAGCGAGGTTTTTCACAACTAGGTATATCCCACCGAATGAGCACCATACCAGTCAGGACAAGATCTAAACTCCCATCCTGTCTCCCGCCGTGTGTGGTAGTGTAGTGCATGTTAGTGTAAGGGTATGCAAGTAACGGGTGAGGATTGAACAAGAAAGTGGAAGGAAAGATAGCTTGCGGTCCGTGACCCATTGTTAGGGTACTGCTCTAGCATTCGCCTGGTGTTGATCTTAACCATCACAGCCGGGAAGAGCTCTAAGCTCCCCACCGGTCACCCGCCTTGTGTGGAGTGTGGTGCATGCTAGTGTAAGGGGAGAGGATGGGGCAAGGAATGGGAAGGAATGATCGCGCGCGGTCCGTGGCCCGTTGTTAGGGTTCTGCTCTAGCATTCGCCTGGTGTTGAAGGGGGAAACCACGGACAGCCACTGATGAGATCAGTCGGCCGCTAGACTTCTCCTCCAGACAGCGGCTGAATTCCATGTAGCTATGTAATTACAATCGAAGGTACTGCCCCCGTTGGCAGTGGAATCCGAGATTTTCCGACCAGGACACCGCAGAGACATCAGAAGGTGCCCAGAGCTACCTAAGCCGGTCTCATGTTGAACAATTGAACATTTTCTCCTCAGTTTCGTAAGACTAGGGGCGTATCCAGCCCTTCAGAAATTATTGCGAATTGTCTCCGACGTGCGAGAAGTAATTTTTCATTTCTGCATTGCGTCAAAGCAGAGTCATATTTTGTGATTTACGAGTATAACAAGCGCAGTAATAAATCATATTCCGCGCAGAAGATCATTGAATGCAGATGAGGCATGTGTCAACGCAGTGCTCAGTGCTGTTGTAGATTATGTATGTATGGTGATTCTATGTCCGCAGGTCCTCTTGGGAACAGGTAGTTCGTGAATAAATTTTGCACTTGAGTAAAATATAAGTATTAATATATAATAAGTGGACTCGTACAAATCTCCACACTATATTAATAATTAGGAATAACGTTCATCGAATTTAGTCAGAATGAGTAGAAAACAAATTAAAGAATCAGTTAGCTCACGTTTCGGAATATTTTTGTTCCATCTTCAGGGCTGGGGTAAAAAAGCATGGAGAGATCACACTTTTTTTGTACCCGCCCTGATGATGGAATAAAAATATTCCCAAATGTCGGCCAACTAATGTTTTAGGTTTTTTCTACTCACTCCGATCCGTGCAATATACTCATAATTACTTCATAGTCGTGAATTCTACAATTATATGTAAATAATAGATTTAAAAATGAAAATAGCTTCATAGTAGTGGCCTGCATTCCTAAATATACTGCTGACCAAAATCACAAGTTTCACTCACACTGCAAACAACAACGAATAAATTACTATCGTATAAAAGTACAATAAATTAATAATTTTAACGATAATAGTCTTCACAGATACTGCATTAAAAGTACAGTACGGATACAGTACAACAGGGCTTTATATACCAAGAAAAATATGTTTCTGTTCATTACATAACACGTGAATAGAAAATATGTAATGGCGAACGGACTCTTCCTTGCAGTCTTGCTGTCGAATAACGTATTGTAATCGGTAACGCACTGAGTATACAGCTTAAGTATGTACGCGCAGTATGAGAATAGTCGAAATACCACAATCAAATATTTGCATTTTTCAGTCAAAACAGACACTGTTTCTTGTTTCTTTTATTTTTCCTGAGTTTCTGTATATCTAAGAAAACTATACACATATCTACATTACACGCCTGGTGTTTTGCGTGAGTAAACAGTCGATCAATATTAAGCATTGAGATTAAATTTCACAGAAAATCAAAGTCTCTTTAAAATAAGATTGGAGAATTTTTCTATCTCTACTCCTCCGAGCTTTTTCCTTACCCAGCAACAGCTGGTATACAGCCTACGACGTGATGGGATGCATATCGATTATAAATTAGACAGCAATGTACTTGAAGCCCTCCGCAACAACACATACACGGGACAAAGAACCGCGCCCAAGGCGGGACACAAACCCGAGTCCTTTCGGACCGAAGCGCTGAAGTGGCACACGATCTTAGCCACCTTAGTCATCCAGGTCGGTTGCTCCGATTTAATTTCACACATATTTCTAGTCTCCTCTTTCACAAGACCACTCTAACTACTGGGTAGGGGTCTCTAGAAGAGCAAAATCTCCAAAATTGCAATAGAAGATTAATCTAGTGGTGCTACAGAATGGCATAGACTTTACGTATTAGTTTTCTATTTACTTTACTCTCGGCTAGCTATACGAACTTGCCACATACTCTTGTCAGCTGCCATCTATTGCCTAACATTGCTTTTCTTTTCAAATGGAACTCAAGAGCGTAAAAGGACGAATCTAATTATATAAACAGTGCTGTATGTAAGATAGACATTTTTTGAGTAATTTTGATTTTCTTGCGACTCGTATTTGACGTATATTTTGAATGTACGAGACCACTACCTAAGGTCACGCAGGGCTCTCCCTGCTCAGCGCGCGCGGAGCGTTCCAATATCCCCTAAACATCAGTCGCAAAAAAATCAAAATTGCTAAAAAAATGCTTATATAATATACGACAATATGTATGTCATTGGATTCGTCTTTTTACTCTCGTCATGAAAGGCTAAAAAATGTATATTTCCATTTCAAAAAACAAAGTAACTTCAAATATAAATACAAGTGATCAAATGAAAATAAATTCATGTATCAATTAGCCTCATTTCCATAGGCAAACCTGCATTGAAATAATTTCAACTTCAACTGTTGAGAAATTACAGGAGGGGCTGTACGTGACTCGCTCTATATACAAGTTGTCTCAGTCAGTCTTCTTAATAATGTAGTGCTGTAAAAAATAATCACATTTGCACAATTATCAAATAGTAGTCAATTTCAATAAAAGGAGATACACAAGTGATATTTGTTCCTAAATGTAAGACAACTCCTTTTGCATAGTTGTTCGGCAGGTCATGTTCTAAAACAGTGAAGGAGATTTCATGTATCAGACGAACATATCTGCATACGGTGTTACTTATTCAGGAGCAAATGCCACATACATAGATGCATGCAACTCCTTTTAGGAAATTTTACATCATCTGTTCCTCGGCAAAAATTTTCATTTTCAACCCTTCTACATGCCCTAAGCGTTTTTAAAAATTATTCTGAGAAGTTATGTAGAGACGTCGTCATCTGTGTGGAATGAGCGATTTCTGAATTGATGCGGCGCTGCAGCTCTCTGGTCAGTGTAAATGACGTGGTAGTCATGACGGGGTGGGTGGCGAAGATAAGACATAGTAGACAGATGTGAGTGAGGTGCATGTAGCGAGATAACGTTCATCCCAGTGTCTATATTTTGTGTAAAGACTTCAATTTGTAAAATAAACCAAACAGAAACGATACGCTTCTTTGAATAACCCCGATCCCACATCTATTATGTAGGTACTATTGATTAGTGATTGAGTTTTTTAAAACAGGGGCAGGTTCACGAGGTTGGAGTGCTGGCTTCTAAAAACCTAGGGCATGTTCATTAGAATTTATTGATGTTCCTAGGCGCGACAAGTGCTCAAGTCATTGGTCCGCTAGTGTAGTGAATGTTACATCCGGGAAGTAAGGGTCTTCTACCTCGCTTGATGTTGAGATCCAGCATCAAGCTACAGGTCGGCTTGCCAGAAATAACTCCGCAACTGAGTCGCGCGCCAGTCGGGATAAGCTCTAAGCTCCCGACCGATCTCCCGGCATGTGTGTAATATAGCGCATGTTAGTAAAAAGGGTGAGAATAGGACAATTAATGATCACGCGCGTCCGTGGCCCGTTTGTTAAGGTACTGCACCTGCAATCGCATTGTGTTCATCAGGGAAACCACAAAAAACAACCGATAACAGCAGCCGGCCGCAAAAATTATCCTCCAGACCCCGACTGAACTCGACGAGCAGACAAGCTCCAAAAAGTCTTGCCCATGTCGAGACTCGCATCGGAAAACCCTCGAAACTAGACCGTTGAAATTACCCTCGCAAAGTCCCTATTCAGAAAAACCGCGACCGTCATCACCCAAAAGCCAGGACCTCATAGTCAAAGTCGCCGACGATCGCTTTCAAGCGGAATTGCCCCACTGAGCGACGTCCGCCGCTCGTCGTAGAGCCCTTTAGCCCCTCCACGGCAGCGGAAAAACACGAAAGTACTAAACACCTCCCGCCC